TGGAAGACTCATACATTGCTGGTTGAAATGTAAACTGGAAAACAGTTTGGCAGGTCCTCAAAATGTTAAAAATAAAGCTTACTGTATGACCCAACAATTCCACTTCTAGGTATATACGGAAGAGAAATGAAAACATACTTCTACACAGAAATTTGCACATGAATGTTTGTAGCAGCAATATTCATGATCACCAAAAAGTGGAAATAGCTCAAATTTTATAAAGTGATTGTGCTGTGTGTGCTTAGTCACTCAGTCATGTCCAACTCTTTGCAGCCCCGTGGACTGCAGCCCGGCAGACTCTTCTGTCCATGGGGATTCTCCAGGCAAGACTACTGGACTGGGCTGCCATGCCCTCCTCCAGGGGATCTTCCCACACAGAAATCGAAGTCAGGTCTCTCACTTTGCGAGCAGATCCTTTACCGACTGAGCCATGGAAATATAAAACAGAATGTCATCCAGCAACAAGAAGGACTGAAGTATTGACATGGGCTTCCCTGGTGGCTTAGTCAACACATGCTACACTATGCATGAGCCTTAAAAACACTACCTAGTGTTTGAAGCCACTCACCAAAGACAACGTGTCATATGATTGCAGTTATATGAAAAGTCCAGAGTGGGCAAATCTAATAGAGCAGGTAGATTAGTTGCTTAGGATGGAGTTTGGTAGGAAATGGAGTATGACTGAAAATGGATATAGGGTTTCTTTACGGGGTGATGAAAATATTCTAAAATTTATTGTGGTGATGGTTGTATAACTCAGGAATATACTAAAAACAACTGGATTGCATACTTTAGATGGATGAATTATATATCTCAATAAAGTTTTTTTAATCTATATGAAAATAATAGCAGTATGTTGTGTAGTATATTTTAAATTTAGAACTAAACATGTGGCAACAAAAGCCTGAAGCATAGAAAGAGAAAATTGAAATATGCTGTTGTAAAGTTCTCACATTTTACCTGAAATGGTATAATAATAGTATTTGAACAGACTGTGACAAGTACATATTTCACTAAACACACAAGCACATAATACAGAGATAAAACTAATAAGGTAATAATGACTATGAAATGGAGTCCAAAATTCTCAGTAAAAAAGACATAAAAGAAGAAAAGTACAAGAACAGATGGAACAAAGAGAAAACAAATACTGACACATTAAACATGGTGATGGTTTAGTCACTAAGTCTTGTCTGACTCTTGAAACCCCACAGACTGTAACCCATCAGGCTCCTCTGTCCATGAGATTTTCCAGGCAAAAATACTGGAGAGGGTTACCATTTCCTTCTCCAGGGATCTTCCCAACCCAGGGATCAAACTCCTGCATTGCAGGTGTATTCTTTACTGCTGAGCCACCAGGGAATCCCCCAACACATTGTTAGCCACTCAGTCATGTCCGACTCTTTGCGACCCCATGGACTATAGCCTGCCAGGCCCCTCTGTCCATGGAGTTCTCCAGGCAAGAATACTAGAGTGGGTATCCATTCCCTTTTTCAAGGGGATCTTCCCCACCCAGGGATCAAACCCAGGTCTCCTGCATTACAGACAGATTCTTAACCATCTGAGCCACGAGGGAAGTCCAACACATTAAATACTATACCAGTTAAAGGCAGAGATTGTCAGATTGGATTTAAAAAGTAAGTATCCACAATATGATAGCTATAAGAAGCAATTTAAAAATAAAAATGAGGAATTTCCTGACGGTCCAGGGGTTAGGACTCCATGCTTCCACTGCAGGGGGCACAGGTTCAATCCCTGGTTGGAGAACTAAGATCCCTCAAGCCTCGCAGTATGGACAAAAAATAAACTGAAATTGAACACAGATTTTAAAAAGTAAAAGAATAAAAAAGATAATCACACACACTAATCTAAGGAAGTTGAAATGGCTATATTAATACCAAAGTATACTTCAGAGAAAGGGTCATAAAAGAGACATTACATATTGAAAACAGGCTTGATTCATCAGGAGACATAATCCTGACTGTATAAGCACTCAATTATAGTTTTAGAGTACGTTAAGCAAAAACTGACAGAACTGAAAGAAAAAATAGATAAATGCAAAATTACAGTTAGAAATCTCAACACTCCTCTTTCAGCAAATAATAGGACAAGTAGACAAAAAAACAACTATTTCTGCTTTATTGACTATGCTAAAACCTTTGACTATGTGGATCACAATAAACTATGGAAAATTCTGAAAGAGATGGGAATACCAGACCACCCAACCTGCCTCTTGAGAAACCTGTATGCAACTCAGGAGGCAAGTTAGAACTGGACATGGAACAACAGACTGGTTCCAAATAGGAAAAGGAGTACGTCAAGGCTGTATATTGTCACTCTGTTTATTTAACTTATATTCAGAGTACATCATGAGAAACGTTGGGCTGGATGAAGCCCAAGCTGGAATCAAGATTGCCGGGAGAAATATCAATAACCTCAGATATGCAGATGACACCACCCTTATGACAGAAAGTGAAGAACTAAAGAGACTCTTGATGAAAGTGAAAGAGGAGAGTGAAAAAGTTGGCTTTAAACTTAACATTCAGAACACTAAAATCATGGCATCTGGTTCCATCACCTCATGGCAAATAGATGGAGAAACAGTGATAGACTATTTTTGGGGGCTCCAAAATCACTGCAGATGGTGATTGCAGCCATGAAATTAAAAGATGCTTACTCCTTGGAAGGAAAATTATGACCAACCTAGACAGCATATTTAAAAAGCAGAAACATTACTTTGTCAACAAAGGTCCATCTAGTCAAGGCTATGGTTTTTCCAGTAGTCATGTATGGATGTGAGAGTTAGACTATAAGGAAATCTGAGCACAGAAGAATTGATGCTTTTGAACTGTGGTGTTGGAGAAGACTCTTGAGAGTCCCTTGGACTGCAAGGAGATCCAGCCAGTCCATCATAAAGGAAATCAGTCCTGAATGTCCATTGGAAGGACTGATGTTGACGCTGAAACTCCAATATTTTGGCCACCTGAGGCAAAGAGCTGACTTATTTGAAAAGACCCTGATGTTGGGAGTGATTGGGGGCAGGAGGAGAAGATGACAGAGGATGAGATGGTTGGATGGCATCACCGACTCAATGGACATGAGTTTGGGTAAACTCCAGGAGTTGGTGAGGGACAGGGAGACCTGGCATGCTGCAGTTCATGGGGTCACAGAGTCAGACACGACTGAGCGACTGAACTGAACTGAGACAAAAAAATATGAATAATACAATTTGAGTAATACTATTGACAAGCTTGTATTAATTGACAGTTATAAAACAGTTGAAGGTTTCAACACTCCTGTGTGGAACTGACAGAACATTTAGAGAAAAGAAATCAGTAAAGATATATAAGATACAATAAAGATATAAAAGATTAAAGTATCTTTCAAAAAAACACAATCAATTTGACCTGATATTTATAGAATACTCAACCAAGCAGAATACACATTCTCTTCAAGTGCACACAAAACATTTACCAAGACTGATCATTTTCATGGCCACAAAACAAGTTTCAATACAAAGAACAATATAAAATATAAAAATATAAAATTGTTCTTTGACCACAATGGAACTGAAATTTAATAACATGAAGATATATGGAAAAGTCCCCAATATTTAGAAATTAAGCACAGCCATGGTCAAATACCATGTCAAAGAAGAAATCACAAGGGCAACTAGAACACACGTTGAATTAACTGGAAAAAAAAGACAACACAGTTTATGAAATGTAGCTAGAGCAGTGTATAGAGAAAAATGAATGACATTACTTACATGTGATAAAAATCACAAATCTATTAACTAAGCTTAAAGAACTAGAAAAAAAAGAGCAAGTTAAACCTAAGCCAGAAGGAAATGATAAAGATAAAAGAAATTAATGAAATAAAAATTTAAAAATAGAGAAAATGAATAAAATTCAAAGCAGCTTCTTTGAAAAAATAAAACTAATAATCCTCTAGCCCAGAGACTGGCTAACTTTTTATAAATGGACAGATAATAAATCTTTTAGACTTTGTGAGCCATACAGTCTACCTAACTTGCAGCTACTGATCTTGACAATTGTGGCATGTATACACTATGTATACCAATGAGCATGACTATGTTCTAATACATTTTTATTTACAAAATCAGGCAGCAGGACAGATTTAGTACAACAGTTAAAAGTTTGCTTCTTTATTCTAGCCAGACCGAATAGCCAGGAGAGAAAGACGTGTATCACAACTATCAAAATTAAGGATGAAAAATGTACATAACTACAGATTGCATAGACTCCATGATCAGCCAGCTATCTCAGCAGGCCAGGATGCAGAAACCATGTGCCTTCAATGTTGATATACATTTACTGAGTAACCAGTTTGTGCTTATGGGCAAAACAAAGATCCCTGCTCTCCTGGAACTTTGCTTCTACTCAGGGAGACAGAATAAACAATATACATAATGCATTTGTAGATTACCTTATATTTCATTCAGAAGTTGGTAAGAACTGTGAAGAAAAATGAAAGTAGGACCAGGAAATGAGAGTGGGAGTTTCAAATGGGGTGAGGTCCAGGAAGATCTCATTGAGGAAGGAGTGTTTGAGCCAAGACCTGAAAGTGGTTATGGAGCCGCCCAAGGGGGAAAATGTCCCAGGCAGAGGAAACAGACAAAGCACAGGACCTGAGGCAGAACAAAGGCCCCAGTGGTTGGAGCATAGTGAATAAGTGGGAGAAACGTGGGGAAACACATCAGAGTTGTACTGGGGAAGCCACAGTTATAGGGCCTTGTGGTCTCTGGGGGCAGGAAGACCAGCAGGAGAGGGCTGCCAACGTTGGAAGGATGAGCCCCACGAATAAAAGAAAAAAAGATCATAAAAAAAAATTAAAGCCAGTAATAGTGGGCTTGGCAGAGCTACAGTGGGGGTCACTCCAAGAACCAGTCCCTCGAGTCACAGGATCAGGGGAGAGCTAGTGAGATTTCGCCTGTCTCCTGCACAAGGACATGCCCCTGAGAGGCTGAGCACACCTACCCGTCCATTCTCTGTCTCCTGACAGGCCATCAGGATGACCTAGACATAGGGGTAACGGAGGAGAATCAGTTTAAGGGGTGCAGTTACCAGGGCCAGGGGAGGACCCAGAATACTGGCCACACCTCCCCCTCCCCCAAAGCTGACCTTGACCCCAAATTCCCAGATGAGGCGCCAGAAGTCCAGCAAGGTGTGAGGCAGGGGTCCTTGCGTGGCGATGTAGGCCTGGCTTCCGTCTGTGCCCTGGGAAAGGCTAAGTTCACTATCGAGGCTCTGCTGTCACCTCCACCGCCTCTGCCCCTTTCCTGACTCCCAGCCTGACCCTGATGAAGTTGCCATTGATGTAGTCGCCATGTCCCTCTTCCTGAAGCAGCGAAAGGATCACTCGTGTCTGATCGTCTGCCAGCAGGAGAAGTGAGAAACATGGAGTTTGTGGGTGATGGGGCCCTGATGGCCTCCCAGATGAAAGCCAGCAGGGGACGGCACACCTTGGGGGATCCCATCGAGGTGCACTGGTGCGATGCTAGGGAGAAATGCAGCCACTGCAAGGCTCTGGGACGGAGAGTTCTGGGAACCCAGTAGGACACAGGGACCCTGGCTAGCACCTGGATCCCACGGGGTGGGGGCACCGACTCCTCCGGAGGCCCCACCCCCACCCCCGACTTACAAGGCAACACATCCTTGTAGCGGTTCTTCCTCACGTTCTCGGGTCGACTGCCGGCCTCCGTTGAGCGCACGCTTTCCGTCTTCCAGGCAGCTGAGCGGGCCCGGATGTCCTGGTGGGAGGACCGCAAGAAGACCCGGGGTGGGAAGAGAGTGAGAGGAGCCAGATCAGAGTCCTGGGACACTGAGGCTCTCACAGGGATATGCGGAACGTGGCCGATGGGAAGGTGAGTGCTGCGTCCAGATAGTGTAGAGCCTACTAATTACATTGATTCAATAACAGTAGCTATTCAGAGTGCCCTCTCTAGGCTAAGCCCTGTGTAAGGGCACTGAACTATCTGCAAGCTCCCTCCGACGTGGGTATTACTGACTCCCCATTGTGCAGGTAAGAAAGCTGAGGCACCACATGTGTGAGTGACTTTCTGAAAGTGTCACCCAGGAAGTGGGTGAGTGAGTGTTGAACTCAAACCTCTGAGCATCTGTCCCTGTACCCTCAGTGTGTATTTACATCTTATCGTGAACAATAATTGTCATATATTATGTACTTAATATAACAAACATGATACACAAGAGGATAATATACAATGTATATGAATTAAATGTATAATATTACTTATGTAGATACTATTAGGAGCTTTAATACTGTTAGATTATTATGATCAGTGAATAGTATTGCCATCATCATCAGGTATTCATAATCATGACAATAATAAATAACACCTACCAAGCCACCGTGAGTGCAAGCCACCATTCTAAGTGTTCTTACACCCATCAGGTAGGTCATTTAAGTCTTCATGGACACATTTCTGCAGTGGGTACCACTATGGATATTTCTACTATGTAGATGAGGAAACCAAGGCCCAGAGAGGCCTTGGAAGACTCCTGTGAGTGCAGGAGATTGCAGAAGGGTGGCCTTCAGCGACTGGCCCTGCTCACCACCCAGCTTATGCATAGGGGTCCTCAGCACTGCTCACTGTCCCAGACTGGACCCAGACCTGGATGGATATGATGTCATGTACTACCTGGGTATTATATGTTTACATTTATTATGCACATTTTCATATTGAATAAATTACATATTCTGCATTTATTACACATTTCTTATATATATTTATTTTATATTTGTGTAAACAGATTTATCTTATACTTTTATCTATTATCTATTATCAAGTTTCTTAGAAACTTGAATAACTGCTCATTTTATAAACGAGTATTTATGTTTATCCTACTGTTCTGTGAAATTAATGTATAAATTATAGTTTATGACCATATTTATACATATACACTATATGTTTTATATTTACTAATACAATTATTTCATAAATCGGTTCTCTATTTCTATTGTACTTAATGATTATATAGTCATTTATTACTTACATATATTTATCAGACATTTCTAAATTTGAGATGTCACCATGTATGATTCTAACACGTTTCTATGTTATTATATTTAAAATATCTCAGTACTTGTACAGTGTGATGCCGACGACGCTGCTGCATTAGCACACCTTACGTATGACTTGCACTACCCCACTGTAAGGTTTAGGATTATTTATAACTAGTGACAAAGGCGCCTATAAAGTGAGCGCTCAAGATGTGATAAGCGGTCTTTACCCACAGTGGCTATTTTAATCCTCAGGTCAGTTTCGTCACATTTCACCCTAGGAGAAACAGAGGCCAGAGAGACCGGATAAAGCGCCTCAGGCCACATCTTCTGTAAGAACTGGCGTCCATATCCTCACCACAGCGGGGCCTCTAGCCTCTTGGTTCCTCTTTTCCCAGCCCCTTCCTCCCCAGGACCACAGTAGTGGCAGTGACCCCCGGGTCGTCTGGAGCGGCCGGGCATCGCGCGAGCGCCCGCCTTCTCCGCTCAGCCACCCGATGATACCCGGAGCGCAGCTAGGGCGCAGGGACCCGAGGGCGTGTGCGGCTCCGCCCGGGACGGCCGTGGACTTCGCCCTCTGGGACTCTGCAGGCAGAAGGTGAAGACAGGCAGGGAGAGAGTGCGACAGAGAGAGGTGCTGGGGAGAGAAAAACTGAGAGATCTCGAAGTGAGAAGACGACCCTGGACGCCGAGAGAGAAGCAAAGTGCAGCAGGGTGCACAGAAGAACAGGCAGAGGTCCGGACTGTCTAGGGCGAGGAGCAGGAGCTCGGCAGTCCACACTCGCCCACTCACGCTGAACTCGCCGGCGAAGACCACCCCATCCCTGCCGCCCAGTGCCTCCAACTGCTCCAAGAAGCTCCGCGCAGCATCCAAACTGCGGCTCATGGCGCCGCCTGCGAGTGAGACGCAGTCTACCTGTGGCGTTCCGCGCTCTCTGCTGGGGTAGACTCCGCTGAAGGCAGCCGAGGCCCCGCCTCAGATCCCGCCAGCCAATGGGAGTGCGCAGCGGCAGACAGGGCGCGCCCCTCGGCCAATGATACTCAGAGCCCGCCCCAGCCCCGTCCACAGGCTCCCGGACTGAGGGCGCTGGACTCTTCTGTCTGCGCGTGGGGCTGGAAAACTGCGCCGGCGCTTCCATCATTTTGTCTCCGCGCGGGCTGAGTCCCTATGGTCATATGGACATCTCCTCTAGCTTGGGCCCGGGGTCCACGCCCTAGCAGGGCGAATGGCTGTACCCTCGCCCGGCCTCCAGGGCCCGGTCTTCTGGGAGCTGGACAGTGTCCGGATCCCAACCAAGGTGGCGTGTCAGCTGTGAGTAAAGACGGCTGCCTAGATCGAGCTGAAATTCCTAACCGGGAAACCCTGTGTGGAGACCTTACCCCGCTCTGCGCTCGGGCGGAGTCCAGGTTGGGAGAGGTAGCCGCGGGGGGAAATGACACCTGGGCACCTGAGCTGTGGGAAAGACAGAATTTCTTGAGGTTCCTTCTATTTCTGGGTCTGGCCAGGAGGAGCTGAGGGAGCCAGGATCATCCTAATTTGAGCATCTCAAGCCGTATAAAACTTCCAGGAAACAGAACTGAGGTTTTGGGAGTGGGTTCCAGGGGTCTAGATGTTCTCAACGCTTTTAAGGATTTTTTTTTTTTTTCATCCTCATACTGTCGTCTTCACAAAATGGGGAGAAGGCCAGAGGACAGCTGCTGCCCTAGGGCCACCAAGGGGAAGGCTGGAGAGTAGGGAGGAGCCAGGGGCCCCTGCCAAGGGCCGGTCAGTGTAGATGGGCTAGCCCATCCTTCACTTTGGATGTAAGGAGTGTGAACCTAATTCATTAGGCAGTTACCAGAATGTTGTCACAGACAGGCAAACTGTTGCTTAAAGGACTCGGGTCTCTGGTTCTTATCCCAGCCACTCAACTTCGACAGGCAGGGCGAAAGCAACCATAGGCCATATGTAAAGGGATGAACATGACTATATTCCAAACTTTATTTGTGGACTTTAAATTTTAATTTCATGTGTCACAGTTTTGTTTCTTTGGTGGGCTGCAGGTTGTAGGTTGCCAATCCCGGTTTAAGTGACTAAGAAGGCAAAAAGCAGGTCAGTAGGGATGTTTCACTTATTGAGGGATCGAGTCACTGTTGAGTCAGTCATCTTTGAAAGTTCAAAGGAAGTCAGTAGTGACCGAAGATGGACGTTGTCAGTGAGTTCATTGCAGGCCAGTGAGAGTTCCTTGGATGTTCATGGAGACTGTCAGCAGATGTCAGTGGCAGTTACTGGGAGGTCAGGGAGAGACTGAAAATAACCGGGGAGCCACTGGACTTGGAGTGGTAGTTTACTAAGTAATTGAGGGGTCAAGAGTCAAGGAAGTTCATTGAGGACCCCTAACCAGGGCTCGGTAGTGAATGTCAGTGTGATCACAGAGAAATCTTGGATGGTCTCAGGACTCAGCTGTTGGACTCAGGGTGGTGAGGTAAAGAAGCATCAGTGAACTTTTGAGAAAATATGGAGGTCCACTGGAGGAGTCACAGAGGTGCTTGAGCCCCTGAGTAATCATGGACACTAAGGGCAATCATTTGGGGATAGTGGACACCAGAGTAAAGGGGGAACATCCACTGCAGATCACAAAAGGGCTTTCTGAACCCTGCTAGTAGTGAGTGTCATTGGATGTCAACAGTCACTGGAAACTGGCAACCTGGAGAGCAGAGGCAACACTGAGGGTCAGCGAGCCCTGCATATCTGTGGTGGTGACTGGGAGGCAGGGCAAATAATGCAGCAAATGGGTTCTGGCTAGTTGGGGGAATCTCTGTTCCACTAGGGGCTGGGGGTGGGTTTGTCCAACAGGATGGGGTATCTCTGTCTATCTGTCCCCCTGGTTTAGGGGACATCTGTCTGTCCTTAGCACCTTTCTGATAGGCTGGGGTCTTTCTTACTGGCAGAGTTAAGACTGTCAAGCTGAAGGTCTGGATGGAGAGTTGACTGGGTAGGAGGATGTCTTTCCACTGACTGTCTCTCTGTCCAGTTGTGGTGCTTTGTCTATTCTTGAGGGATTCTATCTTTCGGTTGGCAGATTCGGTCTCTCGGTTGGCAGGTGGGGGGGTGTCTGTGTGTCTGAACACAGGTCTCTCTGGATGCCTGGCTGGTCATCTTCCCACCTCTCTAAGATTCTGTCCATTTGTTTGGCTATCCTGCTATGTAATCTGTCTCTGCCTGGGATTTTATCTAGAACTCTGTTTTACCAGGGGTTTGTGTGTCTCTCTGCCTGTTTGGGGATCTATCTGCCTATCTGGCCTGTGAACAGAGTGGCTGAGACTTCAGTCCACCTGCCATGCTTCCACCATGGTTCACTGTTTCTGGCTGCACATTCACCCACAACTGCATACCCTCTTCCTTGCCCCACTCTTATGTCCTCCTCTTGTGAAGCAGACTGCCATCCTGACACTGGCCATCCCTCCATGTCTCTTCAACATCCAGATTCTCCTGGCTTGCCCTCCACTCAGCTCAGGCGAGGGGTGTGGGGGGTGGGAAGACCACCAAGACCTCCTCTAGCAGCCCCGGCTCACCCCTCTCCATTCTCCCAGAGAACTGAAAGCTGTGTTCTTTCAATGGGACTCACTGCTGCTGCTGGCCCTCTTGCACATACTCCTGGTGGCAAGCAGTGGGAGCAGCTGACACCGTCCTGCAGGTCCTGGGCACTCCCACCCACATGCTAGTCTGCCACCTGCTTGCCAGCTCAGAGGCCAGCAACAGAGCCGAGTGGACAGGGTGCTAGAAGGTGCTCAGGGAAGTTTTCACAATACTGTGCAGAGCCCAGCCTAGGCTGTTGTTACAAAGGGGAAATCGTAACTTTTAAACAGGAGACATCACCTTCACCTAGAAAGCTTGTGAGGAGACAGTCTGATACTGAAATCCCCACTGAAAAGTTCTTCTCTGACTTCCTTTTTTAACTAGGCCACAAGAGGGAAGAAGATATTTGAAAAAATTCTCCCACTGCTCTACTCTGTTAAGAACCTTTGGTTGGGTGGGCTTACCTATTGGCCCAGTTGGCAAACAGAAAAATGCCACTCACTCCAGTTATAAATGGCAGTTTGCATTCACCAGTGACTGGTGGTAACTGCCTTTGGGAGGGCTTTTATTCCAGACTCTGGAAACTCTACAAGACAAACCAATTTCCTAAATGAATAAATTACAAAGAAAAAAGTTTAAGAGAACACAAATGCTCATAGCAGCATTATTCAAAACAGTTCCAAAGTGAGAAACCAACTTTCATAAACTGATGGATAAAGAAAATATGGTGTATACTGTTAGGGTCCACAGGGGGCTCATGGTATTTTTTAAAAAATGGCCCATTGTGGTGACTTGACAAACGAGATGAAGTCACAGTGACCACAATGCCCTGGTGACATGCTGTTTTTCCCTGCCTGTGCCAGTGTCTCAAGACTACATGACCCACCTGGTGCGCACAAGGTTTATTTGAGCCCTCTGAGCATCTCTGGCAAGAATGGGGTTTGATTCTAAACACGATTTTGCCCCTCCTACCATCTTATTGGGGCTTTTCTGCCCTTGGACGTGGGGTATCTCCTCAGAGCCGCTCCAGCACCTACTGTCTTGCTGGGGCTTCTCCGACCTTGGACATGGGGTGAGTGTCTGTGTTTGATTGCCTCCAGTGGAGATACAGGTCAGCAGTGGACTGCTGCAGGGGCAGGGCTCTGGGTGCAGTAGACTTGGGTATGGCATAAGCCCTCTTGGAGGAGGTCGCCATTAACCCCACCACACAGCTGCCAGAACTTACTTACAAAGGCCTGGGAAATAGAATCGGAGGGCACAAACCAAACCTTGTGCATACCAGAACCCAGGAAAAAGGAGCAGTGACCCCACAAGAGACGGACCCAAACTTGCCCGTGAGTGTCCAGGAGTCTCCGGCAGAGGTGTGGGTCAGTGCTGGCCTACTGCAGGGTTGGAGGCACTGAGTGTAGCAGTGCATGCCTGGGGCCTTTTGAAGGAGGTCACCATTACCTTCATTACCTCCACCATAGTTTGGCTCCAGGTGAAAAACAGGGAGGGAACATAGCTCCAGCCATCAACAGAAATTTGGATTAAATATTTACTGAGCATGGACCCCTCCATCAGAATAAGACCCAGTTTCCCCCAGTCAGTCTCTCCCATCAGAACGTTTGCATAAGCCTCTTATCCTTTTCCATTTGAGGGCAGACAGACTGAAAACCACAATCACAAAAAACTAACCAATCTGATCACATGGATCACAGCCCTGTCTAATTCAATGAAAATATGAGCCATGCTGCATAGGACCACCCAAGACGGACGGGTCATGGTGGAGAGTTCTGACAAAATGTGGTCCACTGGAGAAGGAAATGGCAAACACTTCAGTATTCTTGCCTTGAGAACCCCATGGACAGTATGAAAAGGCAAAAAGACAGGACACTGAAAGATTAACTCCCCAGGTTGGTAGGTGCCCAATATGCTACTAGAGATCAGTGGAGAAATAACTCCAGAAAGAATGAAGAGATGGAGCCAAAGCAAAAACAACACCCAGTTGTGGATGTCACTGGTGATGGAAGCAAGGTCTGATATAAAGAACAATATTGCATAGGAACCTGGAATGTTAGGTCCATGAATCAAGGCAAATTGGAAGTGGTCAAACAGGAGATGGCAAGAGTGAATGTCTACATTTTAGGAATCAGCGAAATAAAATGTACTGGAATGGGTAAACTGAACTCAGATGACCATTATATCTACTACTGTGGGCAAGAATCCCTTAGAAGAAATGGAATAGCCACCACAGTCAACAGGAGTCTGAAATGTAGTATTTGGATGCAATCTCAAAAAATGACAGAATGATCTCTGTTCATTTCCAAGGCAAACCATTCAATATC